TGGTTCAACGGTGTCACAAGACCGTCGATGAGGCGACCTCTTCTGTAATCTTGCAATACACTGGTTTGGGATGTGGTGGATACTGGGATCGTAAGAAGGTGCTCTACTGGCTTGCGAGGGTTGTCCGAGTACGAGGTGAAAATTCCGGTTTTGAATTTTTTTTTCAATTTACCGGTGTCTGCTCACCTCGGAAATAAAACATTATTCAAGTCGGCGAAGTTAATGCAGCAGCATTATTTTAATTTTCTCATATCGGGGCTGACGGATTATCTCATATCAGAAAATTTTGGAAGGTGCACCGTGTTTGCATTTTTGAATAGATCTTTTGTGCGTGCAATAGAACGCAGACTGAGGGAGCTGAGGCCATCACCACAACGTCAGTCTCACCGCTGTGCGCTGGCGGTGTACTCACAGGAGCGCTCCACCAGGCACCATGTCTTACCGCCACTGGAACACGTTTCTGAGAGGATTGATGTGGAGTGCGGGGTGCTGTACGTAACGGAGGTGGAAAACTTTCCGCTGGTGGACGGCTTTTTCTTTGTGAAGTCAAATCCAATGACGCTGGTTGGGCTGCAGATCACTACGGTGGGCGGGCATCACACCACAGCCAGCACTGTGAGGCAGTTCACGGAGTGCCTGGCGGCATATTTTAATGGCTGGGAGGAATTATCCCGAGACATGTCGTGGGAGATGATTTACGTGCAGCACGCAGACAGCACGCCGATGAATGACTGGCAGGGATGTGATGTCGTAAATTCCAATAATTTGACCGAGGAGGGTCGTGAGATTGCGGCGTTCTGGGAGGAAAAGGTGCGCCAGTACCAAGTGTCAATACCATCCGAAGACGCCCCAAGAAGCCCTTAGAATTGAGGAGTAATTAAAGGAATAAATGGGAAAACAAATTAGGGAATTGCGGGGGTAGTTTGAGTTCTGGTAACAAATATTGGGGCTTGTTTCATATGGTTGGATGCCTGTGTGTGCATACGGTGCAGATGCACCAGCATCAGGTGGCAGCATCACACACGGATGCGGAAAATGTCCAACGCGAGCGATCGTAACAGTGAAAGAAGAAGAGACTATGGAGGGAACGGGGTAGTTTGGTTTCTGGTAGAAAAACATTGCGGGTTGTTTCATACATGTGGATTTCTGTGTGTGCATACGAGGCATAGTAGGGAAATTGCTCTGTTATGAGAGAATGATTATGGCTGGCGGTGATGAAGTATTACTACGTTGTTCATTTCCTCTTATTTTTTTGTTCTAAGGCCCATCATTAAACGAAGCATTTTTAAGGGATGGACGACGACCAAGTTCTTTTGAGGAAACAGTGCACTCCGTGTGACTGCTTGGAGTGGGACGCCGTATTCAATTGAGGGTGGAATGGCTTCCTTGTGCCTGCGTCATTGTTGCTTCCCCTTGCGATTTCATGCTTGACTGCCTCATCGCGGCGCCAGGGCCAATTGCTCCGTATTGTCGGGGAGGCCAGGAGCCAGCAATGTTTCCCTCACGGGGTTGTTGTTTTCGTTGGCGCAGCGCTGACGGCATCGACCAGCGTCCGGACCAGCTGCTTTGTGCTGGGGCACATTTTAAACACCAAGAGGTCTGGGGGCACGCGTTGCCGCAGCGCGGGCCATGTAATTGAAAAAACACGAGGGAGGACAACAGAAGCACAACTGTGCGTGCTGCAGCAAGTCCGCACTGATGCTCTTTTACTTTGTCGGCACTGGAAACTGAGAGGGTGCGCCCTGCGCCTGTTGCCATGCACTCTCATAGCCACGTTTTGAATGGAGCGTGTTGTTGTTTCTCTGAAGCGGGCTCCGTGTGTCAACGCGACAGGGGAACACGGTTGGCGGTGGCAGGAGCTCTTTCCGGAACGGCACTGGAGTGCAGGGGTTCCCGGAGTCGGTCGCTCGCTCGCCGAGGTGGGGATGGCGCTCAGGGATTGCCCCGAGGCTGCCTCTCAATGCCGTTGTTGTTGACGGCAAAACGCTGATGGGAGAGCGAGAGTGTGCGTGCCACCGTGTGATTTTACACAATGGGCACTCGTTGGAGTGATGCATGTGTGTTTGCCTTGCGGATTTGGTGTTTTGGATCCTTATTTCACGCTATTCGGTGCCGCAGAAGTGGACGGAGAAGTGATGCAGTCACGAGCTGCACGGGCGTGGTGGACACGGTTATGCGAGCCTGTGGAGGACCCGAGCAAATCAAAGTGTACTATGCGGTTTGGGTCTACAAGGAAGGAAGAGGCACCGGGCGGCTGAGGGGAGTTGCAATGCACGCGGCCGCAGAAGATGACATGCGTTGCTGAGTTCACGTTGACTGCCACTTTGGATGCTTTTTCTCGAGGCTGGGAATCCTTCTAATTTATTTGTAGGTGCTTGATGACACCTGTTGTGGAAGGCATTTTCATTTCATACGAGGATGGCGCACGGGAGATAAGGAAGAAAAAGAGCGACACCTCGCCAAAGGAGCGGCTGCTGGAACGTTGGCGAGACTCGGGATTGTTTGCACGGCCAGCTGCATGCCCTCTGCAGGATGTTCCTTGAGGCGTTCATTGGCGCGAGAGTGAGGTGCACGTACGGGCGGGCACCGCAACAACAGTGTCGTTGGTTCTCCGCTGCACGAATAAGACGACGCACGTCAGGCGTGGCAGATGACGGCCTTTGCGAACCGCCTCTTCTGTTTCACATCTTGGCATTTTTTGCGCTGTGAAAACCGCTCCCATTGGCCGTCTTCTGTGACACGAGAGCCGCCTGTATTCTTCGCCATCGCATTAAAGAGTCGTGAGGAGGGTTGGAAGGTGCGTTGAGGAGCCGTGTGGCCTCTGCGAGCATTTCCTCTGTTTTTCATAGGTGTTGAATGTTGGATTGCCGAAACGCACCTTGAGTGCTTGCCTTAGAAGCTCGCATGACTGGGCGGCAAACGTGTTCGTGGAGGTGAAGGAGGGCCACGCCATTGGGAGGGAGAAGAGTGAATGGGTGGGTGATGTCTATGGCCCATATGTGGTGCCCGACTGGTGCTTCACTCTGTTTGGTGTTATTACCATTTGCATCCACAAAGAATGGCTTTGGGTGCTGCTTTTCCCAACTCTCTTACTGTGTATGTGTGGACATGAACCTTCTTCCGTGCTGTGCATTTGCCGCGTAAGCTGTCGATGGTCTGTGCGAAATATGTGATGATTTGCGGCATTTTGTTGGATTGTGCTTTGATGCTTGCCGCGGGTGACTGCCAGATTGGAGGCGTTGCTTTTTCTTTACTGTGACCACGTGCGGTGTTTATGGGAGGCCTTTCAGAAAAGAGCAAGTCGACATTGTTGCGAAACGCATGCATGATGCCATACTTTTCACTGACGTGGAATGAGTTGGGAGGTTTGCATATTAGCTCCTGTGCATTCTTGCCGTGGTGCTCCTCACGCATAGCCCGGGGGTCACGGATGATGCATGGGGCAGGCAGAATCTTGTGCATGGCGGCAGGAGAAGACAAAGAGCTGGTTGTTTGATTGTTAGCGACGAGTCCTGCCTCACTGCTTGGAGGGGGCTGTCGTTTGCTGGGGCAACCTGTTTTGTGTGTCCAGACGCTGCTTGCGCCGAGTTGCGGGGTGCCGTGTTGGTGTGTGCGGCTCCGTCATGCGGGGCGGCTGCGTAGCGTTTACGGACTGTGTGCCTGTGAGCTGATGAACGTGGCGGGAGGCTTGTCTGAGGAGAGTCTGCGAAAGGAGGAGTGACGTGCGTTTGGCGGTGCTGTTGTTCGAAGTGCAAGTGAGGAAGAAAAACAAGTGCTTTCTGACATGTCGGTGAGTGTGCCACGGCCACCAATGAGTTCTCAGGGAGAGTGAAAGGAGGGAGGGAGACGGATGCTGTGCGCATCCACTGCGGCGTGTGGTGCCACAGGATGCGGTTGCCATTGCGACGGGTGCAACGGTCGTCATGCGTGCAGCAGAGCGTCATCTGCATCTTTTTGCCTGCAGAGCTTGCAGGTGCTGCGAGGAGGAGCAGGCGACCTCTCATCATTGGGCTGCTGAGGCCGTTTCCCTCTCTGCTCGGCGGGAGAAGCAACTCTTCCTGCAAGTGACGTGCTGGTCTGCATCGATGCTCCCCACGGGGTATCACGCAGCCGTGTCGTTGCAGTGCAACTCTCGTGCTCCTCACTGCACACGCGGCTCCCTGTCGCTTGGCTTATTTGCAGAGCCATGGCTTGCGGTCCCCATTGGGAGGCTGCTCATTTTTTTTTCTTAATTTATTTATGCTGTTGAGAGGTGCTGGGGAGAATAATGGCTGCGGGGACGGTGATGTTGTGGTTCGCTTTGAGTGATGTTGTGCACTGCTGTTGTGTTGCCTTTCTGCCGCTGTTTTTTGTTGCTTTCCTTCAAGAAGGAAGTTAATACCAAACGCGAATCGCTACTGTGAAATTCGAAGGCTCTGAAAGGACCAACAGCACACACACCGCCCACACACACATATTTATATGCTCTCACGTGTTGCTGCAGTGAAGGCACCCCGCACACACAACCGTCGCCGCGTGACCGGATCCAGCGGAAGGAGGAGGGAAGGAAGAGAGAGTGAACCGCAGAGGCCCAACATGTCCCGGCATCACTTCTATTCTGCGGTGCTGCTCCTCCTCGTCGTGATGGTTTGCGGCGGCAGTGGAGCTGCGCACGCTGTGGAGAGAAACTCAGGGGATTTGCAAATGCCGCAGGAGATCGCCATGTTTTTGCCGAATATGACGCATGTGGTACCAAAAAGTGGTGGTGAAGGCAAAGTGAAGGATCTCTTTGCTTCACCCGCTCTCGTCCGTGCTGGTGGAGTGATGATTGCATTTGTTGAAGGCCGCACCAAAAATAAACGTTCTCCAGAAGTGATTGATCTCAGTTCTTCTGATATTGTTGCCGGTTACATCAAGGCTCCAGAGACGTGGCAGTCTCTTGTTGCTGAGGTAACCAAAGATGACTGGAAGGCACACACTGTCCTTGAGAGTGCGAATAATAGTAAGTATCGTGTGGGTGTTGCGAGGCTACCCACCGGAATTACAAGGGGCAATAAAGTGTTTCTGCTAGTGGGGAGCTATGAAGAGGGGCGTGAAATTGATGATGATATTTGGAACACCGAGGCATGGAACATTAAAGTGATTGAGGGTGAGGCCACGCAGTCCACGGAAGTTCAGCCGACTCAACCGATCAACTGGAGTGAACCCAAACCGCTGTTCCAAACTGACTCTCCTAATAATAAAGGTGACTTAAAGGAATTTTTGGGTGGTGGTGGCTCAGGAATTGTGATGGGGAATGGCACACTTGTGTTTCCCCTGACGGCAAAGGATGAAAATAATAAAGTTTTCTCCCTAATCACTTATTCGACGGACGACGGCCAAAAGTGGGAGATACCAGAGGGCGTTTCTTCTGCGGGCTGCCGTTCCCCCCGCATCACCGAATGGGAGGAGGGAACACTTCTCATGGTTACTTATTGCGAGGATGGCCGCAAGGTATTTGAGTCGCGTGACATGGGGAAAACGTGGACGGAGGCTTTTGGGACACTCTTGGGCGTGTGGCTCAAATCAGGTCCAGAACTTCTGGAAGTAAGTTTGCGTGTGGGAGCCCTCATCACTGCGACCATTGAGGGAAGGAAGGTCATGCTGTACACTCAGAAAGTGAGGCATTCTCTGGAAGTGGATGAACCCAACGCACTCCACCTTTGGGTCACGGACAACAGCCGCACTTTTCATATTGGACCGTTTTCTGTGGACAGTGCTGAGAATATGACGTTTGCCAACACCTTGTTGTACTCGGATGATGGGCTTTATCTTTCACAAGCGAAGGGCGATCATGAAAGCACAGCCGTTTCACTTGCCCACCTGACGGAGGAGCTGAAGACGATCAAGTCCACCCTCAGTACTTGGGTACAGTTGGACGCCTCCTTCTCCAATTCGTCCACACCCACGGCTGGTCTGGTTGGATTCCTGTCCAATACGACGTCCAGTGGAGACACGTGGATCGACGGGTACCGTTGCATGAATGCAAGCGTGACGAAAGCAGCGAGGGTCAAAAATGGGTTCAAATTCACGGGGCCTGGGTCCAGGGCAACATGGCCCGTAAACAGTCGGTGGGATATAAAACAGTACGGCTTTGTGGATTACAACTTCACTATTGTGGCGACGGCGACCATCCACCAGGTTCCGAGTGAGAGCACTACTCTGCTGGGTGCGAGTCTGAGGGGCAGTTCCGGCACGAAGTTCATTGGTTTGTCGTACGGTGCGAACGGTGAGTGGGAGACAGTGTTTGAGGGGAAAAAAACAGTACACGGTGGCACGTGGGAGCCGGGGAGAGAATACCAGGTGGCGCTCATGCTGCAGGACGGCAAAAAGGGCTTGGTGTACGTGGATGGTGTGCTTGTGGGGAGCTCGGCGATGTTACCAACACCTGAAAAGCGGTGGACTGAAGTTTCATACTTCTACTTTGGGGGCGACGAGGGAGAAAGCGGCAGCAATGCGACGGTGACGAACGTCTTTCTGTACAACCGCCCGTTGAATGACACTGAGATTGGCCACCTTAACGCGAATAAAGTTTCTCTTCCATTTATGGACAAGAAGCCGGCGAAAGCGTCGACAGCTACTTCCCAGTCCGTTGACACTGTAACCACTTCGGTTACCACGGAGACAAAGGCAACTGCGCCAGCGCCCACTACTGTCGAAACGCTGCCGACGGAAGAAGTAACCTCTAACGGGAGCAGTGGTGCGAGCGGTGGCGGCACATTCACACCAGCGGTGTCCAATGCCACGACACACACAGCAGGGGAGAGGAGCGCAGACCAGTCGGCATCTGTTACATCTTCAAGTGCCGCCAGCTCGGAGGATGGCGTGAGCTCTGATGAGAATGGGGAGACGACGGGAGGAGCTGATGGGCAAGAGGAAGATATCCAGCCACAGGACGGGGAAGCAAATGCTGCGGCACTCGGCCTCGCACTCAAAAGCAGTCTTGGAACATCGTCGCAGTGGGATGGCAGCGTTGCTGGCACCATGCGTGAGAGCAGGGTGCTGCTGCCATCGCTGTTCCTTCTGTTGGGACTCTGGGGGTTTGCGGCTCTGTGAGGAGTGTTTGGCCTCAGTGTGGAACACTTGCGCCCTCCCCCACACCGACGCACATCCGGTAATGAATTACTCTCCGCAATAAACAATACCTTTTTTTTATTATTATTGCTTTTGGGGCAACCACTATGGACGTTTTGTCTTTTCTACTCTTCCCTCTTTTAATTGTTTTTTGCCGCACTCTTCCTGTGAGGGGTGCCGTGTGTTTCCCGTCCAACTGCTCCACTCGCACACCCACCGACACGCTCATGACGACGGCCCTGTGCGCCTCGCCTGCTGCACGCATGAGGAGGGACCGCGACGAACGGCGCGCTGAGGGAGCCGTGACGTGTGGGCGTGCGACGAGGGCCTGTGGGGCGGAGCACACATTTCTTTCCCTCTTGTTTTTTTTTCTTTCTTTGCGGTCAGGGCGGGCAGACACCCGCAGCGCCACACACACACAGCCACACCCTGCCGCCGTGTTTTTTTTTTTTTGTGCTTTTCGTGTTCATTTCACGCGCTGGCAGTCCCGTCAGCAATCTCTCCCTCCTGAGATTT